CGTTTTTAAATTTTAATTAAATTATAATAAAAATTTGAATCAATAAAATTACATAAAAATGAGAACTTTTAAATAATTAATTTAATACTAATATCACTTATTTTTTTCAAAATTTTATGATATTTTTAAATTTATATCATCCAAAAACAAAAACATTTTCTTTTTCTCAGAACCACATAGGATCATAATATTGATAGACCCAAAATATAAAACGAAACATTAAAATCAAGATGTATCTCGCTACATTGTGAGAGTACATTACGGGTCTCACGAAAACAGGTTGGTCTCACGTGAACCCAACCCTGTATATATATAGGGTTGGGTTCACGTGAGACCAACCTGTTTTCGTGAGACACATGAGACCACATTTTTACATATAAACTTTACAGCAAAAACACTGTGAAGGTTAAAAAAAGTCACATTTACAGCATTTTGCTGTAAAATTTCAAGTGTAAAAAGGTGGTCTCACTGGTCTCACGAAAACAGGCTGGTCTCACATGATCCCAAGTCTATATACACACACACACACACACACACACACATATACTAGAAGAGTACCCACGCAATGTAGCGAGACACATCTCGATTTTTATGTTCTATTTTATTATTTGTCTCTGTCGATGTTATAATATGATTTTATGTGTTTTTAAGAAAGCAACAATGATTTTATTTTTGAATAAAAAATAAATTTGAAAATATTATAAAAATTTTAAAAAAATATATCAATGTTAATCAAATCAATTATTTAAAAGTTCTTATTTTTTATGTAATTTCTTTAATTTTTTTATTATAATTTAATTTAAGTTTAGTAACGAAATATTTTATAAAGATAATAATTAAGTATTCTGTTGATTATTCTAATTATATTTTAGATTTTTTATATTTAAAATGAGATGTTTATCCTGTATTTGATTATGTTTATCTGCAGTTAGTTACACAAATTTAGATATGAAGCTTTAATAAGTTGTACTTACGCACAATCTACTTGTAATCTTGAGTTTTAAGTAATATGCATTAATAAACAATACTTTACGCATAAAAAATGGTTTTTAAGAGTTTTTATCAAATACTTTATAATATAGTGTATATATATATATATATATATATATATATATATATAATCAACACAAATTAAATATACCGGGATGTCGACTATAAATTTCCTCCAACAGGCAACAGTTATTTAGATGTAGCGGAAGCATATGGTTCACAAGATTGTAAACTAGAAAACTAGCATTGAAAATTTATGCACCAGTCGTCGATATCTTTTTTCTGGGTTCATCTTTTTAAATGCAACAATTACGAGAGAAATTTCAACCAACTGTGACTACATCTTCCTTGTTGGAAACAATCTTTTGAATCCTATCAAGAAATTTCATCATAATCTCCAACCCTTTTTCATCTGAAATATGGAAGATGTGGAGTTAGCATTGAAATTTGAAATCTTATATTTTGGTTTAAGGCACCAAATTTTTAATGGATTTAGTTAGTGTTACCCTGTCGAAATGAATATGTTGGTATGGATGTGGAGTGAAATAGAAATAGAAATAGAAATAGAGGTAATAAAATGATGTAGAATGGCATAGGTTTACCAAGTCTTGGAATTGTATGGCCTTTAGGATGATGAATGATTACACCATCTTCAACTGATTTCAACAGTTCAATCCCATGTGGCTTCAAGAAGTCTGCATCTCCTGCATAAAAATACAAAACAAATATTCAATTTTTCCATCTTTAAGTGTTAAAAAAGCTTACTTTATGGTTAACTTAATGAAACATACATCAATTTAAAGTCAATTAACACACATTTAAGACCTTTAACTTTTTTTCATCGTGATTAAACGATAGGTTGGGGCTGTCTTAGTAGATCCAAGTCAAACCATGTAGGCTGTATAGTCTTAATAAAGACACCGGATGTACAAATTGAAATGTAGCCATAGCTCTTGTTAGATGACAAATGCCATTCATTACTATTATGTCCTCATTCATGAGTGTTAGTTGAAGTTTGTGGACAAGAAAATTTGTTTGAAACATGATATTCAAAAATTAAATCTAACATTTATTAAATAAGTTTTTCATATCCTTATTCTTATTTTTTAAATTTCATTAACTTAAATTTAATATACTTACATGTATAACTATACTTTAAACAATGTATTTTTTTATTTACGTAAATGATCTTTTTCAATTAAATTCATTTATACTCATGGATTTAATTAAAATCTCATTTGAGGTGAGATTATATATACTTATAAATCTCCCGAAGAGTTGTAATAACTACATCGCTTTCTCAAAATCATGAGAAACCGTACTACATCGATATAAATAAATAATAAAACAAAACATTAAAATTGAAATATATAGAGTTGTTTTCTAAAAGCAAAGACATAGACATAGAGAGAGGGAAAAGAAGGGTACCTAAAAAATGGAGAGAGGGACATTGGATGGGAACCGAATATGCCTTCTCAGCCAAGGATTCGTTTTTTAACTTTGCTCCTGATACTATCATTATAAATTCTATCGTTGGTACCTTCGTCAATGCAAATCCCTGTACTATCCTCATTAGAATCTATATCTATATTATAATTATAATTATAAACAAAAATTTTTAAAAATCATTATTTATTAATACATTTTACTTAAAATTTAAGATTCCAAGTAAATTGTGCATAAATACAACTTATTAAAACTTCATTTTTTGAATTCGTGTAACTACTTATAGATAAACATAATCAAATATTGGATAAATATTTCATTTCAAAATATAAAAAAATCTAAAAAAAATATTTAAGATAATCATTGAATTCAAATACAAAAAATGAATTAAATAAATTACACAAAAAACAAAAACTTTTAAATAGTATATATATACTACATTAATAAGTATTTAGACTTATATCTTAACTACAATCCTTAAAACATAGAGTACCATCATTTTATGCAATAATTCAAAAATCTCTTAATTACAAAATATTTTACACAATGTACAAATTGTTTATGCAACACCAAATCCTAATTGGGTCAAAATTTATTTCTCTTTACAAACTTTTAAAATCACCACATTGAGCAGCTTTTGTTGTTGTTCTTCTTCTTATCTATACTACATTAATAAGCATTTAGACCAAAAGTCTTAATTACAAGTCTCAAAGTATAAAATACTATCAATTTATGCAAGAAATTTTTGCATAATGTACAAATGCTTAAAACATATTATTTGTTTGGTCAAAGTTTCAAATTTAAATAAATCATATTTACGTGAAAAATGTATGTTTAGTCTTCCCAAAATTGTTTGACACTTTGTTTGTTTCTTATTTTGAACCCAAATTCAAACTCAAACTTATTCTTTCTCTTGAAGTAAACTGAAATTTGAAGCAACAATATCAGAAAGGGTTTCAAATCCTGCATGTACCCCACCCCAACCCTTCAACTTTATATCGATTTAGAAACTCAACATGTGTGCAATTGTTTTTTCAATCGATCTTACTAATACACCATATTAGTCTTCAACTTTATATATTAGTTGACTTGTAAAATAACCACACAAACTCATGATTCAAAGCTAAACTAATGTTTCAGAATTGTGATTCACCCGTGCTGCATCGCGCAGTTACACCACTAGTGTGTGTGTGTGTGTGTGTGTGTATATATATATATATCTATATAGGGGATGGTTCAAATGCTAACCAAGATTATCGTGTTAACTTTGTTAACCGATCTTGACCGTTAATTTGAATAATAAACGGTTGTGATTTAATGATATTTAAAAATTAATTATTAAATTAATATTTTCAATTAACATATGTGAACAAAATATCAAAGGATATTTAGGTAAAAAGTAATCTATCTTTGATACACGAGTTGTCAGACATATGAACAACTTGTGTATATCTTCAAACCACATCAAACAAAAAAGATTAGACATATGAACAACACGTGAACCGTATGAACATCTTCTGTATATTCAGGAGCTAACTCTGTTGTATGTACATAAACATCTATGAACCAAGACATCTATGGCTATGTGTTTTCATATGTGTTCACATGTTTTCACATGTTCTGTGCGTGTGTGTGTATGTATTCATATGAACACCTAGTGACTTGAATATACATGAACACTTATGAATCACGGCATCTAAGGCTATGTGATTTCTGATGTGTTCATATGTCAAAAGTGAGAACTGTCGATTAAAATAAATGTGAATTATAGAACATGAACACGTGTGAAATCCCAATGTCAATATTGCATCATGATCAATTATGATATTTTCAGATTTGTAACTCCCAATTAATTATTTGGGAGTTACATAAAATGACAAATTACTTAAATACTCTTGTATTTAATATATAAGTTACATTTGAACCAAAAGAAAAGATGAAATATGATTGATTGAGCTTGGTTAACATAGTTAACACAAAAAAATTGGTTAGTATTTGAACCAAGCTCTATATGTATATATAGAGGGGGATGGTTAAATTAAAGAGAATCTTAGAACAACATCAACTGTTGGATTTTAAAATTAAATAACCCGGATTCGAATCTATCCATCATGGTTCTCGATTTTTCATCTTTTTTTAGTTCTTATTTAATTATGTCAATATATATGGACATATTCACATAAGAATAGTAAACATTGTGAAACTTGAAAACCATTATTCAAGTTGTATTCAACATTAAACGTTTATTTTGAAACAATCCAAAAGATTATATTCATTTGTGAAGTAATCAGTAATAAACGTTTACCATAAGGATTACTTATTCTTATGCTTCCCTTAAATAACACCCATGTTCTTTGCATGACAAATTTTTTAAACATTTATTCACATTGTGTTTATCGAATTCAACGTATGTATCAATGGTTATTCATTATGCATAGATAATTGTACTTAGCAATGGCGTTTAGTTATGGACAGAAAGAACATACCTTAGCTTGCAGTCCTGGCAATGCAGCTGCCAAAATTGCACCCTAAATCGATATTCACCAACATTCAATTCAATTCGCATTCATCGAATTAAATCTGAAAAAAAAAAACAGATACAAATCATCATGAACCTGTGAGAATCCAAGCAATCCATCGATTGGTGCATACTTAATCATACATTCTTCAATATATTCAAGACATTTATCGAAATTCTCATACTCCGTAAACTCCTGCAATTAATTCGCAGAAAAAAACCTTCAAAACCCCTAAAATTCCTTAGAAAAAGAAGTACATCGGAACACAAAGAATTASAGAGATAATCTAACCTTGCTGAATTGGAACCATTCGTAGWAAGGCGGATCGAAAATCCCTTCGACTTCGGATTTTCCATTACAAGGAAACGGTGCATCGGGGAAGAACAACTCGACTTTTTCAAGTACCGATTCCGGCCATTTCTTCGATTGAATTCTGAAGATTTCGCCGCTGGTTCGAAATCCATGGAGGCAAAGGATCCTTGGTTTTCTCGTCACAACCATATCGGAACCTTCACTTCCCATGGTTCGATTGTGGATGATTCCGGAGGGACACTACAACAAAAAGGGCTTTATAGGACACTCATTAGTATAAAATCTGATATAATACTATAAGTTAATTTTGAAGGGGGTTGTTAATTGCAGCTTGTTTAGGGTCTAGCTAATTCCATAAAATCTGATATAAGATTAGGGTAGGAGGCCAAATAATACTATAAGTTAATTTTGAAGGCCAGAACATCAAGATGATTAACTGAGGTATGAYAATACTATATAAGAATTGTGATCGCCATTTCAATTTTGTCTTCATTCAACCTGGTTCGTAGATCCCTTTTCCCCCCTTTTAATTACCCTTTACATGCATCTATGTTCATTCATTTCTATTACATGTTAATTGCTCTTTTCATTCCATTAACAAATTTTGTAATGTGTTTGTTTAATGAATGATCCACTTCTCATAGTTTTTGGATCATTGGTTTGATTTGATCTGTTACAAGATTCTGTCCCCTTTTCATATACATGTATGTTATCATTTGTCTAGTTTGATTAATGACCAGAACAGAGAATGTCTTGTTCAATCCTACAAAATAACATTCAAAAGAAGATAAATTGGGGAAAAGAATATGATTTTTGATATTTTTATGGGCAATACTTGTCGTGGATCTTTTGCTGTAAGAATAAATCAAGGCTTCAATCAGCCTGGATACCAATCCAGTTCCAAGTGAACCCCGTCTACTGCACAATCTAACAACTCCTCACGCCACTCACCCACCACCGTTAACCAACCACGTAGTGCCTCTAAAGAGTTCCCCAGAAAAGGTTCCAATACCAATCCCAAATCCTCACCTGCTTCCAGGAAAGAGAGCACCATGAACCGCCAGAACGCGAACCAGGCTTATTATGTCCTTGGTCATAAAACAGCCAACATTCGTGATCTGTACACGTTGGGTCAAAAACTAGGCCAGGGACAATTTGGTACAACCTACCTGTGCACCGAGAATTCCACCGGTACAAATTACGCTTGCAAGTCTATTTCCAAGAGAAAAATAATACATACTTTTATTTATTATAATGATTAAAAGCCGGCAAAGTCTAGCAAGAACTAAACAGTGAATAATAACTATACTTGATCCTACATAATACTGGCTTATTTCACTAATCTTAAGCAGCATAGGAATAGCTATATATAAAGCTCCATTTATCTCCCTCTTTGTTTACAATCCTACTATCTCCTAGTCTTTTTAATAGCTAATACTCAAACAGCAAAACTTCAGTTGAAACCCATGAACATAWAAACTTACTTGTGTAGTTGAAGAGTCAATCTAAKAGAAATCAACAATGCAAGCTTCTGATAGTTTCTGCAGCAAATTACTTTCCTCTACCTCTTTTCCCGTACCTAGGCTGGGATTAAAGAAATAAGGAATATCAATCTTACTACCAGGGTACAGATAAGTTTGATGACATACACACCAACTTACCATGAAATGCATAATGAAACTATTGTCGACAACAAACAAGTTTTTATGGTTTTGGCTCTTGCTTTGTAATGATACCCTTATAATAGACTATGTAAGACCACAAGTAGACTACATTATTTTGGTATTTACAATATAAATCAGATATGATTCAACTATATACCCTTACACGAAACACATGTGATTATGTTATGTGTTTTAACTTGTACTAATATTCAAAGACAATGTATATAACATATATTGAACAAGTTTGTACCGGATACCCTTATAATTGACTATGAAAGACCACAACTAGACCACACAGTTTTGGTATTTACAATATACATCATATATGATTCAACATATTCAATAGTAATGACACATATATGTATTTTGCTTTAAACTATACAATCACACATGATGCAAAATTACTCAACTGCAAACCAATAACCTAGTATATTAATCCAGAATGTATGAAGATATGATTTCAAATATTCAAACAGCTTTGTTCAAAACAGTTTGTTGAATCACATATGACTTTATATATCAAACAATAAAACCAATAACCTACAATATTAATCAGACTTTATGAAGATTCATAGCTATATGAAAATAACATCATATAAATTTATCATGTCCTTAATCAAACATTATCTTTAATCATATAAGTAAAGTATGGTAGATAATTTCAAAATAACCCTAACCTCACAAGCCACAAGATGCGAGAGCAAGAGCCGGTCGATAGTCGAGACCCGAGAGAGGCAGAGAACGAGAGCGAGAGCGATAGCCGATTGAGTCAAGGCCGATTGCGATTTCGATTCGTGAATCGTGGATTGGTTTCTGTTCGTGAGTTCGTCCGTGAGCGAGGCGAGAGGCGAGAGGCGAGAGGCGAGGGAGGACGAATCGAGCGAAGAGATTGTAGTGGACTGATAACATTATTTTCAGGGACGTGTCAAAATTTAACCTATGGATAAGTTAGGTTAAGAAAATGTACTGATTAAGTAAATCATATAAAAGATTTGGGCCAAGTTAAAAATGGTTTTAAATATAATATGTTATTCATGTCATTTTAAATTTTAATAGGACATCTTTAAGTATCCTCTATTAGCTTTTAAACACTAATATAACAATTAAAAATGTCTTATTAACTATTAAAATTAACATGATACTTAAAAATGTTCTATTAATTTCTAAAATAATATGATACTTTAAAATGTCCTATTATTCTTTAAAATAATATGATACTTAAAAGTGCCCTATTAGATCATAAAATAATATGACAATCAAAAGTGTCGTATTAGATTACATGATAGGACGTCAAGATATGTTAATAAGACATAAAAATTAAGAGTCATATAAAATTAAATCAAATAGGACTCATAAACTAATGTGTCGTATTAGCCTTTTAAATGACGGTTTTCAAAAAGTGTCTTATAAACCTCTTTTTGTTGTAGTATGATGAGAGCTTTTGTGAGGAGGATTGTGGTTATTAATACCGGAATTGGAAGTGGCGTGTTCGAATTTGATTCGAGATTTGGGAATCATGGAGGGGGGACACGTTCCATACTGTGGTGGTCACGGGGGTGCACCATTTCATACCGTGAGGTCTCAAGCTTCTTTTTGCTGTCCTTTTTGGGTTTGGTCCCCAACATAATTTTGTTAACAAATATTATTTTGAAGATTATTTCATCAATTAAATTATTAAAATATTTAATATAATTAATAAAATATTATTTCGTCATTATTTATCATCCATTACAAGAAGTACAATTTTTAAAGTGTCATCTCAATTTTAAAAAGTACCTTTCATTTCTTGTTAACACATCATCAGAAAAAAATTTAATTAAATAACATGAAAACTTTAATATAATATCAAATAATTTATTAATTATGTAATTATAAAGCTAAAAGAGATTAATTAAAT